CTTTAATTTTTTTTTTTTTTTTTAAACAGAGTCTCCCTCTGTCACCCAGGCTGGAGTGTAGTGGTGTCATCTCGGCTCACTGCAACCTCTGCCTCCCAGGCTGGAGAGATTCTTGTGCCTCATCCTCCCAAGTAGCTGAGATTACAGACGTGTGCCAACACACCCGGCTAATTTTTTCATTTTTAGTAGAGATGAGGTTTTACCATATTGGCCAGGCTGGTCTTCAACCCCTGGCCTCAAGTGATTCACCTGCCTCAGCTTCTTAAAGTGCTGAGATTACAGATGTGAGTCACGGCACCCAGCCTCTTCTTCACTTTTGAATGATAGCTTTCCCAGATACAATTTTCTTAGTTGGCTGTTTTTATTTTTTTCAGTATTTTGAATGTATCATAACAATCCCTTCTGTCCTGCAAGGTTTCACTGAGAAATCTGCTGACAGTTATGGGAGCTTGGTTGTACATGAGAGCACTTTTCTCTTGCTGCTTTTAACATTCCTTCTCTGTGGCTTTTGACAGTTTGATTAAATGCGTATTAGTATGAGTCTCTTTGGATTTGTTCTGGTTGTAATTGAGCTTCTTGAACTTCTATGTCCATTTCTCTCATGAAATTTGGGAAGTTTTTGGTGATGATTTCTTCAAATAGATTTTCTTCCCCCTTTTTTCTTTATTCTCCTACTATGACTCCCATAACACCTATATTGGTCCACTTCATGGTTTCCACAAGTTATTAGGCCCTCTCCACTTTTCTTCATTCGTTTTTCTTTTTGCTCCTATGACTTGAAAATTTCAAATGACTTGTCCTCAAGTTCACCAATTGTTTCTTCTGCTTGATCAAGTCTTCTGCCGAACCTCTCTAGTGAAATTTTCAGTTCGTTTATTGGATTCTTCAGTTCCAGTATATATATTTTTAAAATTCAATAGATCCTATCTGTTGATATTCTCATTTTGTTTGTGCATGATTTTCCAGATTTTGTTTAGTACTGCGCCTGTGTTGTCTTTTAACTCATTGAGATTTTTAAGATCATAACTTTGAAGTCTTTGTCAGGTTATTCATAAATCAATTTATTTTGTTCCTTTAATTTAGCCTTGTTTTTTTGTTTCATTGTATGTCTTGAGATCTTTTGTTTACATTTGGGCATTAAAAAAACACCTATTCTAGTGTTCCTTGTCTGGCTTCATACAGACCTTCACCAATTAGCTGGGCATAGATTCTAGGAGTCTCTCAAACTTTTTCTGGTGATGCATCTTCTCTGGACCTGTGTGTTTACTTTTCCAGATAAAGTAATTTACACGGGTTTCATTTTTAGGAGCTCGTATTCCCTTGTTTTACCTAGTGTCTATATGCAGTACCAGTCTCTCTAGTAATAAGCTGCCATGCTTGCTTCTGTTCTCAGCAGCCACCAAGTCTCCCAGATATGTTGTGTTTCCCATTAGCAGTCTGAATTAGGTGTAACAGAAGCCAGTCCCTAAGGCAGTCCCCTGGAAAGCCAGAAAGTTGATGCAGGTTTCACTCTCCTCTTTCCCTTCCAAGAGAGATGCTTAGAGATGGGAGTTTTTTCTCTATTGCTTTGTGTGCCAGTATGAGGAAGGACTATGGCAAGTAAATGCAGCAAACTTTCTTACCTGCTTCAATGCCAGTTTTCTCAGCTTTGGTCTTACCAGTGGGGCTGCAATCTTTTAACTATTTGTCTGAAGTTCACAAAGGCAATTTGATTCATATATTGTTAAGTCAGTGTCTTCATGGGGGAACTAGGGCGTGGGACTTTCTATTCTGCCATCTTACTGATATCAGTGGAGCATGTACTTTAAAAAAAACTTCAACTTCTAGCTTAGATGTTCGTGTTTGTTATATGGGTATATTGCACAATGCTGAGGTTTGGGGTACAATTGATCCTGTTACCCAGGTACTAAGCATAGTATCCAATAGTTAGTATTTCAACCACTGCCCCACTCCATTCCTCCTCCCTTCCTCCTCTACTAGTCCCCAGTGTCTATTTTTGCTATGTTTATATCCGTGAGTACTCAATTTTTAGCTCCTACTTCTTATAAGTGAAAACATGTGGTATTTGGTTTTCTGTTCCTGTGTTAATTCACTTAGGATAATGGCCTCCAGCTGCATTGATGTTGCTGCAGAGGGCATGATTTAAATCATTTTAATGACTATATAGTATTCCATGGTGTATATGTATTATATTTTCTTTATCCAGTTCACCATTGATGGGCACCTAGGTCGATTCCATGTTTTTACTGTTGGAAATACTATTGCAATGAACATAAGAGTACATACTTTTTTTGGTGAGATGATTTATTTTCTGCTGGATATATACACAGTTATGGGATTTCTGGGTTGAATGGTACTTCTGTTTTATGTTTTTTGAGATATCTTCAAATTGCTTTCCATGGAGGCTGAACTAATTTACATTCCCACCAGCATTGTATATAAGTGTTCTCTTTTCTCTACAGCCTCTCCAGCATCTGCTGTTTTTGACTTTTAAGTGATAGCCATTCTGACTGCTGTGAAATGGTATCTCGTTGTGCTTTTTGTTTGCATTTCCCTCATTATTAGAGATGTGCATTTTTCCAGATGTTTGTTGGCTGCTTATATGTCTTCTTTTGAGAAGTGTCTATTTATGTCTTTTGCCCATTTTTTAATGGTGTTGTTTGTTTCTTGTTTGTTCAGTTATTTAAGTTCCTCATAGATTCTGGATATTAGACCTTTGTTGGATGTGTAATTTGTGAATATTTCTCATATTTTGTGGGTTGCCTGTTTGCTCCATTGATAGTTTCTTTTACTAAGAAGCACTTTAGTTTAATTAGGTCCCACTTGAGAATTTTTGTTTTCATTGCAATTGCTTTTGAGGATTTAGTCATAAATTCTTTCCCAAGGCTGATGTCCAGGATGGTGGTTCCTAGAGTTTGTTCTTGGATTCTTATATTTGAGGTCATATACTTAAACTTTTAATTCATTTTGAGTTAATTTTTGTCTATGGTAAAAGGTAGGGGGTTCAGATTTATTATTCTGCATATGATTACCCAGCTATCCAGCACCATTTATTGAATAGGGAGTCCTTTCTCTATTGCTTTCTATTGTCAACTTTGTCAAAGATCAGATGGCTACAGGTGTTTGGCTTGATTTCTAGGTTCTCTATTTTGTCCCATTGGTCTATGTGTCTATATGTGTAGCAGTACTCTAATGTTTTGGTTACTGTAGCCTTATAGTATAGTTTGAAGTTGGGTAATGTGATGTGTCTGGCTTTGTTCTTTGGAGCTGGTATTTTTAAAAATACAAATTAATACCAGGAAAACTTTCCTAACATTTTTGACTGAGAAGCACTACTCCCCACCCTGGAATATTAGGTTATGTCAGGAAGCCTCAGGGCAATACACAACAAATACTCATTAAGCCTTCAGGTTCAATTCAAAATTAATTTCCATTTGCCTCGATAAAATTACTTATAGGAAAACAATCTGGACATAGCTAAAGGTATTTTAGAAGCTCAATTGAAAAGATGAGAATAATTATTTTTTATGAAATAAATAAATCAACTATAGTTAAAACCTAGTAAGCTCTCTATTATGTTTAACTTTTCCAAGTAATTTGCTACTCACTTTCTTTTTTTTTTAAATTATACTTTAAGTTCTAGGGTACATGTGCACAACATGCAGGTTTGTTACATAGGTATACACATGCCATGTTGGTTTGCTGCACCCATTAACTCGTCATCTATATCAGGTATTTCTCCTAATGCTATCCCTCCCCCAGCCCCCAACCCCCCAACAGGCCCCAGTGTGTGATGTTCCCCACCCTGTGTCCAAGTGTTCTCATTGTTCAATTCCCACCTATGAGTGAGAACATGTGGTGTTTGATTTTCTGCCCTTGTGATAGTTTGCTGAGAATGATGGTTAGTAATTTGCTACTTTCCAGGGAAAAAGTACTCAGGAGAGTAGAGAAACAAATTTGAATTTTAAGAACCCCAATGCAATTTCACTGAAAAACAATAGGAAATTAATATGGAACACATCTTAGCAGTCAATGTGCTCCAGAAAAACTTTCTCTCTCTCTATATATATACACACATCTGTGTATACGAAGAGATTTTTATGAAAAAATTGGCTCACATGATTATGTAGGCTAAGAAGTCCTGCAGTCTGCCATCTGGAAGTAGGAGACTCAGAAAAGCCGGTGGTGTAGGTCCAGTTTGAGTTCAAAGGCCTGAAATCCAGGGGAACCAATGGTGTAAATCTAGTCCAAGGATAGTAGAAGATCGATGTCTCAGGTCAAGCAGCAGGCAGCCAGGAAGAAACAAAAAAATGGACGAATTCCTCCTTCCTCTGCCTTTTTTTTCTATTCAGGCCCTCAACAGATTGGCTGATGCATACCCACACTGGGGTGGGGGCAGTCTACTACTGAGCTTACCAATTCACATGCTAGTCTCATCTGAAAACACCCTTACTCTCATCTGGTCACCCCTTGGCCCAGTCAGGTTGACACATAGAATTAGCCATTACACCATCTGAACATATAAAATAAAAAAAAGATTGAAAACACAAAAATAAATTTATGTATATTTAAAGACAATTCTGTTTCTTGGTAAGTAAAAGAATGAAATTCTGAGACAGGAATTCCTGTGTTAGGACTGTTTCTTCCCTGTAATGATGTTGGTACTTTTGGCCTGTACTGCTGGTCAGTAGACCATCATGTGACAGATCCTTGCACCTTGTATTTTCTTCTATAGAATAGCTCTGAAGGCTATAAGGAAACTTTACTTTGTTCAATCTGGAAATACCAAAGTCTGACTCCTTTTTTTTTTCCTTCATGCAGAATTTCATTGTCCAGCAGCTGAATGAGTCATTTTCTTATTTTCTGGGGCTTTCAGACCCACAAGATAATAATAATTGGCAATGGATTGATAAGACACCTTTAAAGAAAAATGTCAGGTGAGTGCAGATCTGGGGCCTTGTTTACATAGAAAATCTAGGGAAATTTTGTTAGGAGTGACTAATAATGTTAATATTGATAATTATGATAATAGGATCTAACAATTATTAAGCGTTACTAAGGAGATGCATTATCTCACTTAAACTTCATGAAAACATCTCTTTTTCTGAACTAATTTTACAGATGAAAAATTAAATAACTTGCCCCAAATCAATCAACTAATAAGATGAGAAACTGGATGTCAACTCCTTGTCTATCTGACTCTAGAGATGGTGCTCTAAACTATTATATTTTGCTGTTTCTAAACACAAGTAGACACTTAAACTGATCTCTAATTAATAAAACTTAAAATATCTGGGTCAGAACTATGTACAATTTTAGTAGAAAAATTACATAATAATACTATTTACTTGTGGCTTTAAAAAAGAATTCAGTTATACATTATCTTATTTGATTTTTTTCACAATCTCGTGGGTTAGTTAGGGACCTTATTATAATTCCTATTTTTAAAGATGAGGAATCTAATACTTGAGGAGATTGAATTACTTGCCCAAGATCAAAATGAGTGAGTATCAAAAACAGGTCTTGTAATTCCAAAAGTTATGTCCAACCTCCCACTCTTTACCCAGAATGTATTCCCTGGAGGCAGGGTAACTTTTACATCCAGACTCAGGCATCCTAACATTCACTTAAGGCAGATCCATGAGAATAAAGAAGCTTAGGAAGATGATAAGAATATACAGATGTAAGGAGATAGCCTCTTTATGTCATGTCAGTAAGAAAGAAATTATTTAATAACCCCAGCCAGGATAAAGGCTCTGTAAAGAGGAAGATGATTGCAGCGGAAAGATCTAAGAATAAACCATCTCATAAAATTTTGCCAGAAGAATGTTAAAGGAGCAAGTGTAAAAGTATGTGTCCATACTTAAGGATCTGAGGAGGGCAGTATGGGAAGGAGGAACAATCATTGGAATGTTCTCTCTTCCTAAATCCCACTCTGTTCACTCCAAACGTTTATACTTTCTAATCATTCACCATGCATTCATTGAAGATGTCTACCTACCTTTTTTTTTTGTTTAGATTTTGGCACCCAAATGAGCCCAGTCATTCAGTAGAGAAATGTGCTTCAATAGTCTTCTGGAAACCTACAGGATGGGGCTGGAATGATGTTTTCTGTGAAACTAGCAGGAATTCAATATGTGAGATGAATAAGATTTACCTATGAGTAGAACTTTTTTCAGTGATGTCTTTAAAATTGAAACCTATTCTGAAATGATAATTTCATTCTGTAATTTACACATAACCCTTATGTTATAGAGGTTCATAGAAATGGAAAGATACCTGTTTCCCTTTAATCAATCTTCTAGTTTCCTCCTTTCCACTAATGATAGAATGCACCCTTCCTCTCTTTGTTCCATTCTTTCACTTGTTATTCATTTTTTTCTTTCTTCACACTTCATTACACAAACATTTATTGTTTCAGAGACTGTACTATTTTGTTTGTTGGAAGATTTATAAGGACGCATCTTTTGCAAATTATGACTTTTCTTCCTCAATATACCATAAAGAAATCTTTTTGGTCAAGATGGTAGTTGGAAGTACAATCATCTGAAGGCCTGACAAGAGTTGAAAGACCTGTTTTCTAGATGGTTCACTCTCATGGCTGGGAACTTGGTGTTGGTTATTGCTAGGAGGCCTCAGTTTCTGACCATGTGGAACTATCCATAGGGCTAACTGAATCTCCTTACAATATGGTGGCCAGCTGCTATTGGAACAAGTGATCCAAAAGAACAAGTAAAAGTAGTAATGTCTTTAATGAACTACACTCAGCAGTTATGCACCATACCTTCTGCTCTACCCCATTGGTCACATAAAACAGATCTGATATAATAAGGAAGGGGAATACCCAAAGGCATGAATAACAGAATGTGATAATCACCAAAAGCCATCTTGGAGGCTATCACAGCAAAATTTATTTTAAAAGATACGAAAAAAAAGTGTAGTGAAAAATAAATTAATTAAAATATCTCCTACACTAAAATTATGGACTTCTGTTCATTAAAACACCATAAAGAAAATTAAAATAAAAATGACTGGAGGAAGATATTTTAAACACTTATAACTGACACAGTATTAATGCCAAGCATATATGAATATCTATCACAAATTAATTAGAACACAAAAAA